ATGTCAGTTAAATATCCTACATTATTCCCAATAAGTAGGATGTCATCTACATACAAAACAAGAAATGCTACCGTGGAGTTGATGATCCTTTTGTAAACACAAGGTTCATCAATATTTTGTTCAAAACCGTAAGATTTGACCACAGTGTCAAATCTCATGTTCCAGGATCTGGATGCTTATTTTAATCCATAAATAGATTTTTTAAGTTTGCAAACTTTTTGTTCTTGACCCTGTTCTACGAACCCTTCTGGTTGGACCATATAGATACTTTCGTCAAGATTACCATTCAGAAAGGCAGTTTTGACATCCATTTGCCAAATTTCATAATCATAAAAAGTGGCAATGGATAAAAGTATCCTAATAAATTTAATCATAGCAACAGGTGAAAAGGTTTCTTCATAGTCTATCCCCTCCACCTGGGTGTAACCTTTTGCTGCTAATCGGGCTTTATAGGTTTGTACCTTTCCCGAATGGTCTCTTTTACGCTTATAGATCCATTTGCAACCGATAGGTCTTACCTCATCTGGTTTGTCTACAAGCTCCCAGACCGAATTGAAGTACATAGACTCCATTTCGAGGTCCATGGCTTTGATCCACTGATCTCGATCAACATCATACATTGCCCTTTTATAGGTCAATGGATCCTCTAAGCCATCATCAGGCATGGTGACTTTGGTTTCAATTAAACCCATATAGTGGTCAGGCTGTCTTACAACTCTGCCACTACGTCGAGGCTCTCTCATCTCTTAAGAAGGATGTGATGGACCAGATGTGCTTGGTCTATTATCAACTGTTGTTGATGGACCAGCCTGATCAACAACTCTTGTTGATTTATCTGTAGCATCTTTTGAAATCTCTTCTAATACTAGTTTGTTGTGGGGTTTATGATCTCGTATGTGGTCTTCCTCTAGGAATGTGACGTTTGTCGATACAACTACCTTTTCATCTTGAGGATCATAAAACAGACCACCTCTCGTTCCTTTAGGGTATCCCACAAAAAGACATAATTTTGAACAACGTTCCAATTTCTTAGGATTTTGTACCAACACATGTGCTGGACAACCCCAGATTCGAAAATGACGTAAACTAGCTTTGCGCCCGGTCCATAACTCATAAGGTGTTTCTGAAACACTTTTAGAGGGAACGTTATTCAAAATGTAAGCTGCAGTCTCTACTGCAAACCCCCAGAACGAGTTAGGCAACTGAGCAAAACTCATCATGGATTGAGCCATGTCTAACAATGTTCTGTTTCTTCGTTCAGATACACCGTTATGCTGAGGCGTTCCTGGTGCAGAGAGTTGTGACTGAATTCCATATTCTATCATATAGTCTTGAAATCTCAAGTCCATATACTACCCACCTCGATCTGATCGAAGTGTCTTAATTCTTTTACCTAATTGGTTCTCAACCTCAGTCTTAAACTCCTTGGACTTTTCAAGGGCTTCAGACTTGTGATGTATCAGGTAAATGTAACCGCACCTAGAATAATCATCAATAAAGCTGATGAAATATTCATACCCTCATTGAGCTCTAACATTCATTGGTCCACAAAGGTCTGAATGTACGAGTTCTAAAGGTTCTTTGGCTCGATGACCTTTTCCAGTAAAAGATCTCTTTGTCATTTTTCCCTCAAGACATGACTCACATGGCTGCAAAGAATCATCTTCTAACTTGCTTAGAAGTCCGCTCTTAACCAATCTCTCAATCCTATTGAGATTAATTTGTCTAAGTCTTAAGTCCCAAAGATAGGTACTTTGAGAAACACGTTGCCTTTTAATTTGAGTTTCAGCTGTTTCAAACATTTCAGTATTATAGACAGCTTCAACTTTGGTTGGTTTTAACTTATATAAGTTGTTTTCTAGGTATGCAGAACATATTTGTACGCCTCTGTTCAAAATGAACGCTTCATTAAGATTGAAATTTACGATGTACAAATTTTCTAGCAAACATGAAATAGATATCAAGTTCCTTTTACAGGAAGGTACATAAAGAACATTTTCCAAAAACAGATATCTATTTCCAAAAATCAACTTAATTCCTCMCACTGCTTTTGCTTAGATGAGCTCCCCTGATCCAACYCGAAGAGTGRCCTCATCTTCTCCAAGCTGTCTCCAGGAACTAGTTTCCTGAAAAGAAGAACAAACATGATTAGTGACTCCTGAATCTAGTATCCAGGTAGAATCATCATTCTCCACTATACATGTTTCAATGACTAGTAAATCGAATTTACCTTGTTTTTCCTTCTCAACTCTTTTCTCGGCGAGGTATTTGGGGCAATTTCTTTTCCAGTGCCCATTTTCATTGCAATGGAAACATTTTCCTTTTGCAATTTTTTCCTTGCCTTTTACCGCAACCGGAGCCTTCCCCTTCCCATTGTCCTTCTTCTTCTTCTGAATTCCTTTCTTCTGATAAGAAGGTCCAGATTTACTCCCAGAGGAAGATCCCTTGTGGAATTTCCTCTTTGAGGTAGTAGCAGCATTTGCCTCAGCCTCAAAACCTTTGTTTTTCAACAAAGATTTGTAAAGTTAGAGTTCATTCAGAAGGGTTGTCAAGCTGTATTCAATCTTATTCATCATAGCATTCGTTTTGAATTGAAAATAACTCTTCGGAAGAGATTGCATGATGAATCCAACCTGACTTATTTCGTTCATGACTGCGTCGTTCACTTCTGCAACATTGAAGTGAACCATCATGTTCAAAACATGCTCCCTTACGGAAGATCCTTCCTTCATTCTGCAGTTGTAAACATACTTAATCGCATCATGTATGATAGATGTTGATGGTTGTCCAAACAAGGCTTGTAGAGAGTCCATGATCTCTCTTGCAGTAGCTAATCCCTCGTGCTTTTTAGACAATACATCTGATATACTGGCTAAAATGTAGACACGAGCTTTTTCATTAGCTTTAAACCATCTATCATGGGCATCCCGAACTGTTTGGTTTGAATTAGGGGCAAGGGCTGGAGGACACTCCTCCGTTAAAACGAACCTTAGATCGTCAATAACTAGTATTGTGTTTAAATTCGATTTCCATATTCCGTAATTGTCTCCATTAAGTTTATCAGAAGCTAGCAGTTGTATAGTTGAAGTAGACATTGCTGAAAAGTGAACAAAACTATTAGTGAATTGTATAACTCTTAATTATTTCATCCAATTTTATTTAGCAAGAAATAATGTACCCATTCATTATTACTTTTGCAACGATACTTCAGTGAGTCAAAGTAGCCCCCACCGAAGGAAAGTCGACTAATCCTTCACTGAATCAAGACATTCTTGACTAAATACTAACTCTGGAGTAACTCTTATCTCTATAGTACTTACTTATCGTTAATTTGGTCAAGAACTTACTAACACGCAGCAAGTCTTGTAAGTGTAGACCCGCCATTTTGGAATTACAGAGATCGGAATCAAACAAACCCTCGAAGGAGAGACAATTGCTGAAAACAGACCTAAGTAACCCTATCCATTTCTGGAGTCCACGGTATTCCCAATCCTATGTTACAACCCTCCGAAGGGATAGGCGCTTATAAACACCAAGTAGGTGCAACATAAGAATCTCACGGTGTGACCTAATGGAAGAGACCGTGGGACGTGTTGACACACACCCTTCACCCACTTACTATGAACTACTTCCCCTATTCACCTTGTTATTGACCCATGCAAATACTTTCCGAAGGGAG